GGTGATCATATGCCGGGGGCGGGGGGAACATGCGGGGGGTTTAGGACCGACAGTCGGCATACACTGCCATCGCATCGAACCCATGCGTGTGTGTGTTTGTTTGTGTGTTGGGGGGGGGTTGCCGCAAGGCCACCTCATGAAATGATAACAGAGCCAAAAATTGAAACGAGGGGAAACTAGGGAAGAGGCACCAGCCCCCTCTCGCCCCTCCTTCCATGCCCTCCGTTGCTCCCAAGACCTTCGGCCGCGGCACCAGGTGACCCCCGACACACACGAACACATACACATACACACACGCAGTCGGACCCCAGTCCAGGTCCAGAGCCCCACCAGGTGCGCTCTCGTCAGCTCCACCGCCCGGGACTCCGCCTTAGCCAGCTCCGTACTGTAGCCCGTCTGCGGGACGGGGGGGGTCCAGGACACGCAGTAGCAGCAGTAGTAAAAGTGGCAGCAGCAGCAGAAGCAGCGCAGAAGCAGTGGCAGCAACAGCAACAGAATGGCAGTAGCAGCAAAGTGGAAGTAGCGGTAGCAGCAGCAGTGGCACTAGCAATGCAGTAGCAGTAGCCATTGGAGGCCTCACGGGGAGCAGCGGCAGAACAGGACAGGAGGATGACGGAGCGGGTTCAGATTTCCAAAAGTCGGCGGTGGCGTCACCACCACTAATCGGCACCTTCGTGGACATCAAATATCGTACATATAACAAACACACAAACACACAAACACACAAACATACAGACACAAATAGACACCACACCACACCACCTCCCTGCGTCCACGAGGCCGCAAGTACCCCCTCCCTTCGCCCCCTCGGCCAACACACCCCACCTACGGAGTCATTGGCAACACCCACCTTCCCCCACCATCCTCGATCCCCAGGTCGTGGGCAGTCCACACTATGCTACTTGCACGTATTTCCCCAACCCCCAACCATTCCTTCCCCTCTTCCTTCCTCCCTCAATCCCGCCTTAACCCCCCTGATCACCTGCGCAGCCCCCAGCAGCCAGGCCAGGTATGACACAGCCGCCAAGGAGGCGTCCAGTCGGGCTTGCAGCTCCCCCACGGCCGCAGCACCGACCTCACGATCCGCAGCCGCCACAGCGAGAGATGCGTCCTGCGGTTGGGAGCCCGACGGCGTGGGAGAATACTTGCTAAGGGGGTTTCACGAGGGGGGGGGAAAACACCGGCCGATATCCAAAGTTGCTGACCGGCGGTGGGGGAAGAGAGCCATGAGGAGCCGAAAAAAGGGGTTGGGGGGAGCCGGGGAGGTTTCAACATTCGGAGTGAGGTGGGAGGTTGGGTTGGGGGGTTGGGGGTTGGGGGCGCGTGTATATTTTAAAACACATACACACACGCACCTTGGCCCGCCGCGCCTCGTCCGCTGCTCGCTGTGCCGCCCACAGCTGGGCCTTCAGCTCCGAAACCACCTCCCCACCAGCTCGCTCCACCGCCCCCACCTCAGCCGCCTGTGCCCGCGCCGCCGCCTCCGCCCGCGCCTCCACCGCCGCCAGAGCCTCCGCTGCCACCTGCCGTATTCCCTACACCCCACACCCAAAAAAACACACAGCGGGGCCCACGTGAAAGCCCCCAGCCCACAGACGTACAGGACCTCCCAGACCACCTCCGCAATTCCTTTCCCCATCCCACGACATGTCCTAATGGGGTCTAACAGTGCGGAGGTCCCCACAACGTCCCCCCACCCCCACCCCTTGGACGCTACCCCGGTGGGGCCCCCGGGGTCACCCCCCTAGGAGGTCCGATGTCACATGTGGGTCCGGCGAAGGGCGGCTTACCGCATATGTGCACATGCATACAGATATACATAAGACTCCCTTTCCCCCCCCCCCGTCCCCCCTTGTTCTGCTCGCCTGCAGCTCCCGGCTGTGTGTGGCCCGCAGCTCCGCCAGCGCCTCAGCAGCCCGACCCGAAATGAGGGCTGTATGGGCGGCGTGCGCGGAGGTGGCCTCTGCCATCAGGCCCCGTAACTCCTCCACCTTCAACGGACCACACCGGGGGTATGGTACCCCAGGGGGGAGAGAGGGCAGAAGGATGGGAGGAGGGGCCGGGTGAAGGTTGAAAGGGGGGAAAGAAACCCGTGCAAAATCAGTGTACATGGTTCACTGTCAACTGCTTGTCCCATTAATAAGGGAATAAGGGCAGCTCGGGGAGGGGGGGGATGTTGAGAAAAGGAAGGGTGAAATTCAGGAACCTAGCTAATCAGGCAAGGACAAGGACATGGACGTGGCGACCTGGCGCTTACCCTCCCATAGCGGTCCCCTCCCCGGCCCCCACCTGCGCCTTCCAAGTCGCGATTGCGGCCCTCACAGCCGCCACCCGGGCCTCGGACTCCGCAAGCGGATGAGCCAGCGCTGCTTCCTCAGACTCCAACCCCTGCGACCGTTGAGCAGCAGCAGCACCACCATCACCACGATCACCACCACGATCACCGCAAGCAGCAATTAATACAACGACAGCACAAAAAACACATCCGCACAGTACTGACAGCAACGATATATATCATATGCTATATATATGCTATATATATCATATCAGCGATATATCACAATGCTTCACATTGTGAGATGAGCAGACCGCGTAGACGTCGGGGTTGTAGATGGGAGCGGGTTCGGGGCTGGGGGGGTTGGAGGGGTGGAGGGGAGGCTTGAGGAGCGCAGGGGCTCCATTGCCCCACGGATAACGGACAGAATTACAGACGGACTCACGCTGTACAGGCAGACTTAAAAAGAGTCGGACAGACCTACCAAGCCGAGCCGCATGGCTGCCGGTCCTACAATTACCCGGGGTACAAGCACCGCACCTGTTTTTCCCTCTCCTCCGCTTCTTGCAGCTGTTTCTGGGCCGCGTCCAGCTGCGACGTGAGGTCCTGGTGCGGCAGTGCGGGCGGAGGATCCGGCACGTCAGTGCGGCCACCGACATAGCTCGTCGACAGACGTCCCCTAACCAGCCACTGCCCCGCCATACAGTGAGTCCCTCCACCCCGGCCTCGCCTTAACCCCCCCTTCCTCCCCCCCCCCCACACACTACTCACCTTCATTCTCCCCCTGAACTCCTCCTCCACCTCCGTCACCTGCCTCCGGTGCTCCCCCGCCAGCTCCTCCTCCCGGGCCTTATGAGACAGCAAAGCGGACTCCAACTGGGACTGGAAGCGGGCCGCGACGGCCACATGCTCGTCCTGCAATGTCGTACAGGTACACTTAAATACACAGGTGCACATGTACGCGAAATCCGAGCGAGCACCACGCACGACAAATTCGCGGTAACGTGGAGACTGCAGCCTGTATGTATGTCGTTGCTCTTCGATGCACATATGACAGCAGCATTAGGAACGCCAAGGGACGCACACCCCTCTTCGCTACCGCCACACCTACCCACCCACACAGCCACCTACCCACCCACTCACCTGCAACTGCTGCGCCAGCTCCTCCCGCAGCTCCGAAAGCGCCTCCCCGCCCACCTTCCCCACCTCCTGCATCTCCGCGGCATGGGCCTCCGCAGCCGCCTCCATTTGGGCCATGGAGATCGCGGCAGCCACTCTCAGCTCCTGGGGGGGGCCGCAGAGGGAGGGGGTAAGGGGTATGGGGGTATGGGGGTAAGACGAACCACCGACGGTAGCAGCAGATACCATATAGCAGGGTAGAGGGAGGGGGGTAATAAGGGCACGTGTGAGCGCACGTGTGAGGGGACGGGAAGGGTGTTTTATCGTTGTACGGCACCACGCACCCCCCGTTACCCCCCGGGTCCCCACGCACCACCAACAGCAGTCCCTCCCCCTCCCCCGCATTTCCCCCTCCCCCCTCCACACATACACACCCACACCACCTGCATCTCCCGTCTGTGTTGCGCCCTGCGGCTCTCCAATGCCGCCATGTGGCTGCCCGCCAGTGCCGCCATCTTGGCGCTGTGGGCCGCCTCCTCCTCGGATAGCCGCCGCTGGAGAGCCGCCACCTGCAGGGGCAGACACAACATTCCGGAGACACCCTTCAACAGCAGCCGATACACTTCCTTGATATACACACAAACACACACATGCACGTCAAGCACGTCAAGCACGTCAAGCGCTCGATCTGTAGGCGAGTTTGAGAACCGAAAACCGTAAATCGCACGCGGCACGCTGCACAAGCCGCACATCAGGACGCGTGACAAACATACAGACTGGGTATACGGACGATATAAGAGGGTCTGCGGACTGGAAAGGCGGGTGGGCGGGAAGGTGCATTTGTAGGTATTCAGGGCGATCCACACAGATATACATACATACGCACACACGCACGGACCTGCGCCTGCAGCCCCTCCAGCGTCTGCTGCTGTCGCTGCCACTGCTCCTGCGGCTCCATCTCCTCCGCTGCCGTACACACCTGCTCGTCCTCCAGCTGCTGCGCCTGTACGTTATGACGCAGCGCCTCCAGTTCCGACTGCCGCTGCAACACCCCAGTCGTGCGGGAGGGTTGTGTACGGGAGGTACGGTAGTTGGTACGAGACAGTTACTATATCTTGTGGGGTATGATTACGAGTCGTTGGCCGCCACAGGGTCCAACACGGACCGCACTGCCCTCACTACCGCCACATAGGGCCTTTCTGTAAGTTCGCCGTACACATCCGCCAACCCAAAAAATGTCCCCATGGGGGTCGGAGTTCTCATACAGCCCCACCCCCCTCTCCCTCTCCCCGGGCGGCCCTCCTCCTCCCCCCTTCCCTACATCCTTACCCTCGCTTCGCTAGCCGCAGCTTCCCTCCGCTTTCGCTCCGTTACCTGCCTCAGTGCCGCCAACTCCCCCAGGGCCTAGGTCCAGGGGAGCGGAGAGGGGTGGGGGTTGAGGGGTTGGGGGGGTGGGGGGGGGGAAGTGTGGGGAAGGTACCAGGAGTGCACGGGGTGTTGAGGAGGTCAACATTCCCACAGGTGATGGAAACGGACTACTGACGAGACGTCCTCCGAAACCACCACCTAGCCAAGAAGTCCCAAACAACAAAGTAGTAGCACCTTGCCGACACAACCCGAACGGGGGGGTTGGGTGTGGTGAGAGGTGGGAGGAGGAGGAAGCGGAGGAGGTGATAACAAAAAATGGGGGGGGTTGAGAGAATAACACGGATTGAAAAGTGGCGGATATAACACGGCTTCCCTTCCCCACCCCACCCCACCCCACCCCACATCCACATCCACACGGACGCACCTGTTTTTCCCTCTCCTCCGCTTCTTGCAGCTGTTTCTGGGCCGCGTCCAGCTGCGACGTGAGGTCCTGGTGGGGCAGTGCGGGCGGAGGATCCGGCACGTCAGTGCGGCCACCGACATAGCTCGTCGACAGACGTCCCCTAACCAGCCACTGCCCCGCCATACAGTGAGTCCCTCCACCCCGGCCTCGCCTTAACCCCCCCTTCCTTCCCCCACACACACTACTCACCTTCATTCTCCCCCTGAACTCCTCCTCCACCTCCGTCACCTGCCTCCGGTGCTCCCCCGCCAGCTCCTCCTCCCGGGCCTTATGAGACAGCAAAGCGGACTCCAACTGGGACTGGAAGCGGGCCGCGAGGGCCACATGCTCGTCCTGCAATGTCGTACAGGTACATATAAACATGGGAAACATTACTCCCACGCCGTCCGCACCCATCCAGTACCCGTACGAAAGCTCTTTCATGACAAGGTACGATGATCGCTGTACGACGATACCCAAGCAAGTGCACATGTGGGCTGTCAGTGTTGTATGCCGTATACCTGTAATGCCGCCTCCTGAAGCTCCAGGTCTCTCTTCCGGGCCGCCACCTCCTCCACCACCCGCAGCTGTTGCTCTTCAAGCCGCGCCTCAAACCGCCGCCGTGCCTCACCCAGCACCGCCTCCGCCTCCGCCAGCTGGCGTTCGTACTCGTGCCGCGCCTCCGCCAGCCCACCCGTCGCTTCCGCGAGCCGCACCTCCAGCGCGCGTTGCTGCGCCTCCGCCTCCGCCAGCTGCTGCTGCCGCGCCTCCGCCAGCTGTAGCTGCTGCTGCAGTACTGCCGCGCTCTCCGCTACCTGAGCCGCCAATGCGACGGCGGCGGACGCCTCCTGCACAAGGCAGCCGCCGTCAACGCCGCCGTCACCAAGTTCGGTATCAGACCGTACGACGTGAAAATGTACGCGAAATCGGACTGGGGGGAAATAACTCCTCCATCCGGGAGGTCCATCCGCCCGTTGCCGGGAATGTGGGAGACAGGCAGATGACCCCCGCAACACTGTCCTCAACGTCATGTGCACAGCCAACTCATAACCGCCATTTCAACTTCAATATGAACCTTCCACAACGCACCATTCCAGCACCCACCAGTTCAGCCGCTGCCGCCGCCGCTGCCGTCTTTGCCGGCTCCTCCTCCTCAACAGGCGCCCTCGCCGCCAGCAGCTCCGAAGCCGCCGCTGCTTTATCCAGCTGGACCCTACGGACCGCACCAGCAACACACACACACCCTCAGCAACACGGCCCAGGTGTGTGTGTGTGTGTGTTGAGGTCGGGAAACCCTAGGAAAACCCTAGGAAAAGAAATACCGTCGGCTGCCGCAATGCAGGTCCCGGGGGGCAGTGTGTTTCAACCGACATATGATCCCGATCAGCCTTCCCAGTGAAAGGAGCGGTATACGACAAACAAAATCCACATCGTCGTGAGCCGCCAGCTGCTCGGCTAAAGGAGGGTGCTTTCCGTCCCCAGATTGCTTGCCTCTCTTCGTACAACATCCTTCACAATACCGGATCCTTCAAACCAGGAAGTCAAAGATATGCTTGGAATGGGAAGCCAATCTCTGGCGCGACTCCTGCCGTGAGTTTAATCCTTCACCCCGGGGCCCCATGCGTACCCTTGCTTGGGTGCACTGAGCTGCGACATATACAGGTTGAGAAAGTGGCGTTGGTGTGTGCGTATTGTATGTATGTCAGTGCTCACCTTAGCTCCCCGAGCTCCTGGCGGTGGCGGTCCTCTGTGAGGGCCAGCCGCTGCTCCAGCTCCGAAACCCGCTCTTCAGCGGCCGCCGCCGCCGCCGCCACCTGCCGCTCATCCGCAAGCAGGGCCGAGTACCTGCACACGCAGCCAGCCAGCCAGTAGTAGCAGCAGCAGCCGGCAAAGTGAACCGAAGGGCAGCCAACCTTCCCCCCACCCCCGCTCCCCCCCCATACACACATACGAATACACGTTGCAGCATATAGCAGTAGATGCAGCACATGCAACAGTAACTGAAATGAGCGTACGAGTCGGTCGTACGGAAAAAAAGGGGTTTTGAATGCAGCTGGGGAAATGCATGGTGAATAGCTGCAGCGATTCCGGACATCCCCCCAGCAGGTGCGCTGATGTGAGGCCCTTATACCTGCACCCCGGAGTGGTGGTGTGTATGTGTATGTATGTTTGTTTGTTAAGAGAGCGAGAGCGAGAGTGAGAGCGAGCGAGAGTTTGTGTGTGTATTCCAGACCAGACATCTCAGGCACCACTTAGCTGCTATGGTGGGGGCCTCACGTGCCATAACACCCTATAATCAGCACACCGACACACAGAAACATCCCTTCACGGCCATCAAGGATCAGTCCCCCTCTCCCCCTCCCCAGCTCCGTCTCCCAACCCCCCCTCCTCCTAGCCGCTGCAGCCGCCTCACGTACATTTCCCCACGGCGCTCCAGCTCCCCCCTCAGCTCCGCCATCTCGGCCCCCAGCGCCTCCGCCACCTCCTCCACGGCCGCCGCCCGCTCGGCCAGCTGCTGCGCGTGCTGCGCCTGCAGGGCCGCCACCTCCGCCGAGTGGCTGGCCGCCAGCGCCGCCAGCTCCCGGCGTAGCTGCTCCTCCGCCATGACCTGATCAGCCGGGGAGGATACCCAGTGGGCGGGGTGGGGGTGGGGGTAAGTTATGGTGGTTGTAAGTTACGGTGGTTGTAAGTTA